ACCTTGGGGAAACCCCTTAAACTAAAAACACTGCCCCTTGGGTTTACCCCAAAAAAACCCCCAACTAAAACCCTGGGGAAACCCAACTAATAACACCGAACCTTTGGGGAAAGGGCCACTAAAAAACACTAAACCTTGGGGTACCCCACTAAAAACACGGGAACCTTTGGGGTCCCCCTCCAATAACAAAGAACCTTTGGGTTTTCCCACTAATAACACGAACCCTTGGGGGGTTTAACCCCATTTAAATAACAACAAAACCCCTTGGGGTCCCCCAAACTAAAAACCCAACTGACCCCTTGGGGTACCTAAACTAAAACACTCCCCCTTTGGGGTCCCCCACTAAAAAAACTAAACCCTTTGGGGGGGGGGAAAACCTAAATTTTAAAAAAACCCCTAACCCTTTTGGGTGGTACCCCACTAATAACCCCTAAACCCTTGGGTACCCCCCACTAATAACACAAAACCCTGGGGTAACCCCACTAATAACACAAAAACCCTTTGGGGTTACCCCACCAAAAAAAACCCCTAAACCCTTGGGGGGTACCTCACTAATAACCGGAAACCTAGGGGTTTACCCTTAAATAAAAACCTAAACCTTGGTTTCCCCCCCACTAAAAACACGGAATCCCCTGGGTACCTCACTAAAAACACTGAATTTTTGGGGTACCCCACTGACCCCCCCAGACCACTCAAGCGTGAATCATTAACTACTCCTCCTCGAACCTTTTTTTTTTAAAAGGCCATTTTTTCTCTCCTTTTACATACAGAAGTTCCAGCCCTTTTTAAAACTTTACCCTTAAAATATTACCCCGGGTTTTGGGGGAACTGGGAAAAATGCTTTTTGAAATTTTACCCAAAGAAATCCCACGGTCCACCCCCACCCCTTTTTCCCAAAAGTTTTTACCAAACCCCCCGCCCACCCCCACCCCTCCTTATCCAAAAAACCCAAACCCCTTTCCCCCCCGCGCCCCCCCCCCTTCTTTTCCAAGTATCCCCAGGGTTCCCCTTGCCACCCCCTCTGTCCAAAAAAAACCACGTCCACTCCCCCCCCCACCCCTTCGGTCCAATTTATACCACGTCTACCGGCCACCCCCTTCGTCCAAGTTTTCCCAAACGTCCACCGCCCCCCCCCTTTTCTGCCAAAGGGTAAAAACCGGGTTTTCCCCAACCGCCCCCCTTTCTGTCCAAGTATACCAAAATCCACCCCCACCCCCTTCCCTTTTCCAAGTATACCAAATCCACCCCGACACCCCCTTCCAAGTTAACCCATGTCAAAAACCGCCACCCCCCTTCTGCCCAAAATATACCACGTCCACGCGCCACCCCTCTGTCCAGTATGCCACGTCCACAGGCCATCCCCTCTGTCCAAGTATACCACGTCCACTGCCACCCTCTTGTCCACGTATACCACATCCACTCGACACCTTCCTCTGTCCCCAAGTATACCTAACGTCTACCTCGCCACCCCCCTCTGTCCAAGTATACCAACATCCACCCACCCCTCTGTCCAAGTAAGCCACGTCCCACACCACCACCTCTGTCCAAGTAAACCACGTCCACTGCCTACCCCTCTGTCCAAGTATACCACGTCCACCGCCACCCACCCCACTTGTCCAAGTATACCACGTCCCATAGCCCCCCCTCGGTCCAAATATACCACGTCCACCACCACCCATCCTCTGTCCAAGTATACCACTCCACGCAGCCAACCCTCGTCAATAGTATACCACGTCTACCGCCACCCCCTCTGTCCCAAGTAATACCACGTCCACCGCCACCCCTCTGTCCAAGTATACCACGTCCACTGCAACGCCAAGTATACCACGTATCCACCGCCACCCCTCTGTCCAAAGTATAACGCCATAGCCACGTCCAAAATATACCACGTCCACCACCCCTCTGTCCAAGTATACCACGTCCACCAGCCAAGTATACCACTCTACCGCCACCCCTCTGTCCAGAATAATGCCACGTCCACCACCACCCCTCTGTCCAAAGTATTACCACGTCCACCACCACCCCGTCTGTCCAAGTATATACCACGTCCACCACTGCCACCCCCTCTGTCCAAGTATACCACGTCCACAGCCAACCCTCTGTCCAAGTATACCACGTCCACCACCACCCCTCTGTCCAAGTATACACGTCCACCACCACCCCTCTGTCTAAGTATACCAAGTTCCACCACCACCCCTCTGTCTAAAGTATACCACGTCCAACCACCCACCCAAGCTCTGTCTAACCACCCCTTAAGTATACCAAGTCCACCACACCCCTCTGTCCAATTATACCACAGTCCACCAAGAATCTGTCCAAAGTATACCACGTCCACCACCCCTCTGTCTACGTTATACCACAAGTCCTCCAAGTATGCCACCACCCCTCTGTCCAAGTTACTACGTACCACCACCCATCTGTCCACCAAGTCCACCCAACCTCTGTCCAAGTATGCCACATCCACCGCCAACCCATCTGTCCAAGTATACCACGTCCACCCACCCCTCTGTCCAAATATACCATGTCCACCGCCACCCCCTGTCCAAGTATACCACATCCACAGCCACCCCTCTGTCCAAGGTTTTGCTCACCCCCTCATAAAAAAGAAATCAGATTTGTGTGTGACAACTTCTGTCTTTCATGAATCCATGCTGTCTGTTACAATATTTGTTTCCAGCAAGAACTCCTCTCTGTGGTCTTTTATTAAACTCTCCAGTATCTTCCCAACTATAGAAGTTACACTAACAGCTCTATAATTACTTGGGAAAGATTTTGTCCCCTTTTTAAATATTGGCCCCACATTGGCCTTACACCAACCAGTGGTACTATGCCAGTCATTAACCACCTCCCCTGCCATATAGTCCAATGACGGGCGCAAGGCGGTTTCTCTCGTTCTGGGAGGACGTCATATGATGTCCTTCCATTCTCTCCGCGCATGCGCGGATCAGGGAGTGTGTAGTGCGGCAAATCGCCGGTGCGCTGTGTCCCTTGGACACAGCAGATCACGGAAAGAGCTGAAGTTGTCGGCTCAGTCATGTGATCAGCTGTGTCCAATCACAGCTGATCACATGTAAACACGGAAATTATCGGCATTCTCTTCCTCACGAGCTGTCACGCTGACAGAGGAGAGGAGAGACAGTGATCGGCTTTCCGCAGAGGGGACATGTACACTGATCATCAGGGCACTGATGATCAGTGTGTGCCCTGATGATCAGTGTGGCCCCCAGAAGTGCCACCTGTCAGTGTCCATCAGTGCCAGCAGTCAGTGCCATGTGCCAGTGCCCATTTCAGTGTCACCTATCAGTGCGCATCAGTGCCAGCAAGTGTCGCCTATCAGTGCCAGTCAGTGCTGCCTATCAGTGCCAGTCAGTGCCGCCTATCAGTGCGCATCAGTCAGTGTCGCCTATCAGTGCGCATCAGTGCCCGCCTATCAGTGCCAGCCAGTGCTGCCTAACAGTGCCAGCCAGTGCTGCCTAACAGTGCCAGCCAGTGCTGCCTAACAGTGCCAGTCAGTGCTGCTAACAGTGCCAGTCAGTGCTGCTTATCAGTGCCTATATATCAGTGTCATGTATCGGTGCAGCCTATCAGTGCCAGTCAGTGCCGACTATCAGTGCCAGTCAGTGTTGCCTATCAATGTCCATCAGTGCAGCCTATCAATGTCCATCACTGCAGCCTCATTAGCGCACATCAGTAAAGGAGAAAAAAATACTAATTTACAAAATTGTATAACAAAAACTAAGAAAAAAATTTTTTTTTTTCAACATTTTCAGTGGTTTTTGGTTTGTTTTAGCAAAAAATAAAAATCCCCGAGGTGAATAAATACCACCAAAATAAAGCTCTATCTGTCTCAAAAAAAATGATAAAAATTTCATATGGGTGCAGTGTTGCATGACCGCGCAATTGTCATTCAAAGTGTGACAGCACTGAAAGCTGGAGATTGGCCTGGGCAGGAAGGGGGTAGAAGTGCCCTGTAGGCAGGGAGGGGGTAGAAGTGTCCTGTAGGCAGGAAGGGGGTAGAAGTGTCCTGTAGGCAGGAAGGGGTATGAGTGCCCAGTAGGCAGGGAGGGGGTAGAAGTGCCCTGTAGGCAGGAAGGGGGTAGAAATGCCCTGTAGGCAGGAAGGGGGTAGAAGTGCCCTGTAGGCAGGAAGGGGGTAGAGTGCCCGGTAGGCAGGAAGGGGGTAGAAGTGCCCTGTAGGCAGGAAGGGGGTATGAGTGCCCTGTAGGCAGGAAGGGGGTAGAAGTGCCCTGTAGGCAGGAAGGGGGTATGAAGTGCCCTGTAGTAGAAATGCCCGGTAGGCAGGAAGGGGGTAGAAATGCCCGGTAGGCAGGAAGGGGGTAGAAGTGCCCTGTAGGCAGGAAGGGGGTAGAAGTGCCCTGTAGGCAGGAAGGGGGTATGAGTGCCCTGTAGGCAGGAAGGGGGTAGAAGTGCCCTGTAGGCAGGAAGGGGGTAGAAGTGCCCTGTAGGCAGGAAGGGGGTAGAAGTGCCCTGTAGGCAGGAAGGGGGTATGAGTGCCCTGTAGGCAGGAAGGGGGTAGAAGTGCCCTGTAGGCAGGAAGGGGGTATGAGTGCCCTGTAGGCAGGAAGGGGGTAGAAGTGCCCGGTGGGCAGGAAGGGGGTAGAAGTGCCCTGTAGGCAGGAAGGGGGTAGAAGTGCCCTGTAGGCAGGGAGGGGGTAGAAGTGTGTAGCTGGCCAGCTAAGACCAGTCCTAGGTTGTTAATATGGTCACATATATGTGTACACCAAACCTGCCAATAACCTCAGTACAGTATATATGTGTATATGTTAAAGCCAAAAGCAGAATCATTGCTGTGATTTATGTCTTTGATTGTTATATGACATTTATATATTCATTGTGTTAGCAGAAGCAGAAAAGGAAAATATGCCTTTAAGAGTTAGTTAACCTCCCTGGGGTATGATTATTTCAGATTTTTGGTGCTGAAAGCGGAACCATTTTTTTTTTTGCATGGAAATATGTATTTTTTTTATTGTAGGCTGTAATTTTTAGGAATAACTCCCTGAAATCTGTCCGAACAAGAGTCTAGTAAACATCCCGGGTATGATAAAATTTGAAACACAAAATCATCATAAATTATAATTTAATAAATAATCATAAAAATAATATAAAAATAATAAAAAATTTAATTCAATAATATAATCAAACCAAAAACACTGAAATGTGAAATATAGCGCCAAGTTGGCTCATCGCTGAGCTCAGTCGCAGAATCGTTTTCAGTTTCTGATGACGAATTTCCCCCACCAATCATTATCACTCAATTCTGCAAGTGGTTCTGATTTACTATCGCTGTTCTCTAGCTGATCTAAACCGCTTTTGACCTAAAGGGACACTTTTTGGACGCCATGGACATTTCTCAGTTTCCAGGCAGAAAGAACAGACAAAATGCAGGCAGGGCGCCGGACAAAGCACTCGGGACACAATGTATGTGAAATAGGTTGAAACAGCAATGTTTTACTATGAAAAATGTAAAAAAAAAAAAAATGACATTTTTTAAAATTTTTAAATTTCCCGCCGCCGGAGGCGGCGGCGCCCGTTTCACAGGGACAGGACACAGAATATGACATTTATTATTCATTGTATCGGCCGGAGGAGATGGCCGGGGACGCTGCAGGGGACACATCGTGGGAGCACAGGGTAAGGTAAGTGAAGACAACATGCCGGAAGGGTAAGCCCGAGTATCGCCGCTTTTGGTACTGAAATGTTACCCCGAGCTTCGGGAATACCGCCAAGGAGGTTAAAGGTGAGCCAATCACAGACAGCCTCACACTGTACAGAGCCTTAACCAATCCCAGCCAGTTTCACATTTATGCCTGTGTAAAACTCCCTGCTAGGATTTTCTAGAGACACATGCTCACCAGACAGAGGAGGAAACAGACAAAGTTCCAGTCAGAGAAGCTCCATGGAAGTAGAGAAGGCCAAATAGGTATTTAATGCACTTGTGTGTTCCTCTGTTGTTTAGTAATGCAGGTAGATCTGTATGTAAAATCTGTTGTATGTGTTTACTTGTAGTTCCACCGAACTTACGAATCAAGTCACTGTAGAGTAATCTAACGAATTTAACAAATTAATCTAACAACATAAGCTAACGAATCTAATGAATCAATCGAGATAAGCTATTGAATCAACCCAATGTAATACGAATGAAACCATTGTAATATGAAAGAAATACAGTTGCAAGAAAAAGTATGTGAACCCCTTGGGATTATGTGGAGTTTTGCATGAATTGGGCATAAAATGTGCTCTAAACATCATCTAAGTCACAACAATAAATAAACACAGTCTGCTGAACATAATACTACACAAACATTAGATGTTGCCATGGTTTCATTGCACATAACATGTAAACATTCACAGTGCAGGGAGGAAAAAGTATGTGAGGCCCTAGCTTAATGACTTCTCCCAGAGCTAATTGGAGCCAGGAGTGAGCCAACCTTGACTCCAATCAGTGTGATGATATTGGATGTGTTGCTGACACCTGTTTTGGGTTTACTGGTTTTCAAGAAGCACTGTCTGATGTGAACCATGCCTCGCAGAAAAGAGCTCTCAGAAGACCTACCATCATGAATTGTTGACTTGCATGAAGCTGGAAAGGGTTACAAAAGTATCTCCAAAAGCCTTGATGTTCATGTGTCCACGGTAAGACAGACTGTCTACAAATGGAGAAAGTTTAGCACTGTTGCTACTCTCCCTAGGCGTGGTCGTCCTGTAAAAATGACTGCAAGAGCACAGCGCAGAATGCTGCATGAGGTAAAGAAGAATCCCAGAGTGTCAGCTAAAGACCTACAGAAATCTCTGGCACATGCTAACATTTTTGTTGACACATCTACAATAAGGAAAACATTCAACAAGAATGGAGTACATGGGAGGACACCACGGAGGAAGCCATTGCTGTCCAAAAAGAAGATTGCAGCACGTTTGAAGTTTGCAAAAGAGCACCTGGATGTTCCACAGCACTACTGGCAAAATATACTGTGGACAGATGAAACCAAGATTGAGTTGTTTGGGAAGAACACACAACACTATGTGTGGATAAAAAAAGGCCCAGCACACCAACAACATCAAAACCTCATCCCCACTGTGAAACATGGCGGAGGGAGCATCATGGTTTGGGGCTGCTTTGCTGCCTCAGGGCCTGGACGGATTGTTGTCATTGATGGGAAAATGAATTCCAGAGTTTATCAAGACATTTTGCAGGAAAACGTATGACCATCTGTCCGCCAACTGAAGCTCCGCAGAGGATGGGTGATGCAACAGGACAATGACCCAAAGCATACAAGTCATTCAACAAAACAATGGCTGCAACAGCACAGAATACGCCTTCTGGAGTGGCCCAGTCAGAGTCCTGACCTCAACCCCATTGAAATGCTGTGGCATGACCTTAAGAGAGCGATTCACACCAGACATCCCAAGAATATTGCTACACTGAAACAGTTTTGTGTGAAGAGGAGTGGTCCAAAATGACTCCAGATCGTTGTGCAGGTCTGATCTGCAACTACAGGAAACGTTTGGTTGAGGTTATTGCTGCCAAAGGAGGGTCAACCAGTTATTAAGTCCAAGGTTCACATACTTTTTCCTCCCTGCACTGTGAATGTTTACATGTTATGTGCAATTAAACCATGGCAACATCTAATGTTTGTGTAGTATTATGTTCAGCAGACTGTGTTCTTCTATTGTTGTGACTTAGATGACGTTCAGAGCACATTTTATGCCCAATTCATGCAAAACTCCACGTAATCCCAAGGGGTTCACATACTTTTTCTTGCAACTGTAAGTCATTGTAAGCCGTGTTATATGAAGAAGATTGAAGTTATTAAAGAAGTTAACTAAAGTATTCGGTGTGCTCTTTAAACCTACTGCATCCATAGAGCGGCATTGGAGGAATTACAGAGTAAAGTCAGTCTAATCAAACAAAGAAGCAGCAATTGCATAATTTTTCTAATGCCACAGCGCACTAGGCACCAAAGGGTGCTGCGCCTGCCACAAAGTGTCCGGTAGGCAGGAAGGGGGTAGAAGTGCCCCGGTAGGCAGGAAGGGGGTAGAAGTGCCCGGTAGGCAGAAGGGGTAGAAGTGCCCAGTAGGCAGGAAGGGGGTAGAAGTGCCCTGTAGGCAGGAAGGGGGTAGAAGTGCCCAGTAGGCAGGAAGGGGGTAGAAGTGCCCGTAGGCAGGAAGGGGGTAGAAGTGTCCGGTAGGCAGGAAGGGGGTAGAAGTGCCGGTAGGCAGGAAGGGGGTAGAAGTGCCCAGTAGGCAGGAAGGGGGTAGAAGTGCCCGGTAGGCAGGAAGGGGGTAGAAGTGTCCGGTAGGCAGGAAGAAGTGGGGGTAGAAGTGTCCGGTAGGCAGGAAGGGGGTAGAAGTGTCCGGTAGGCAAGGGCTTAAAGAGTCCCTAAAAATGAGAAACAATGGCTGTGAAATGACAGAGCTGAATTCTGTAAGGCCCGTGGGTGTATGCCATCCGGTCCAGGGGCTTTATACACCTTTATTCTGTCTAAATATTTCTGGATCATAACAATTGTGAGCCAATGTGGATCATCTTGAGCTGTGTCAGTACCACCCCCATTATGGACTAGAGCCCCCCCATGCCCCTTTGTTTATACAGAGCTGAAGAAGGGATTTCATACATTGGCCTTCTCTTTGTCCCCAGTCACCCCCTCTAGATGATTCTGTAAAGGGCCTACATGCTGGGACCGGACCTTTCTACTATTCATATATTGGAAGTATTTTTTGGAGGTTTGTTCTGCAATTTTTTGCCTCCCTGAACAGATGAGTTTTCAGGGATCACCTAAAGGCATCTAGAGTAGGGGATAG